TACAAACCACTTTTCACAGATGAGCCTATGAACTGCACTTCATCAACCTCCTATGTACAGAAACTCATGGACTCAATATAGACATTGTAATTCTGACACCCTACAACCTGCCAGACATCTAACTCCCCAAGTACCTCTCCACCTTTACCTACATCCCCCCTTCCCCTGCCCCACCTCAGCCTCTCTCTCACCCCTTGATGCCTCTATGTCCATTTTTACTGACTGTCTTCCTTGCCTGCATTGCATGCCAGGAACAGCACACACCAACTGCAGGTGCTTCCTCGGCCTGACAAAGGGTTTTTCAAACCAAAACCTTGCTAAGATACATTTCTGTAACTATTCAGTTGGTCTACTAAAAGATACCAGATTAGATTGACCCAAAGAACCTTGTCTGCCAGTGCCATGTCCTTAGGCCAACACCTCTAGCACTTGTCTCCGGTCAGCTGACTGGAAGGATGCAGGGCCCTGGGCAGTGGGCACATCTAAGCCCTGTGGCTGGGGTTGGCAGGGAGAGTTCTCTGGCAGCTTCTGGAGAAGAAGCTCCTGGAGGAAAGGAAAGAAAGGCTCTAGTCTGTGATAGTTTGCCTGCCTGAGATGCTGCTGGTCCACTGTGTTGCTTACTAAGTTATTAGCTGTTGTTATTTAAAGTGGTGGACGGGACTGAGGCTGTATAGGAGGAGGAGCCCTCATTGGGGCACACTACTGTGTCATGTAGAGCAGTGGTCTCCAAACTTTTTTGATCGCGCACCCCATCAGTAAAAAATTTTTGAGCATGCACCCCCAATATATGTATATTTATATAAATATATATCTATTAGAAGTTCTAATATTTTCTTCCCGCACCCCAATGGATCATCTTGCACACCCCCTGGGGTGCACTCACCCCACTTTGGAGACCACTGATGTAGAGGCCCCAGCGCCAGTGAGGGTGCACCTTAACACACACACGAAGTCACACGTCATGAGTTTTGCTTGTTAGCAGCTTGAGGTGCAGTTTCCCAGAAACGCCTGCACCTATCTCCTTGAAACTTGGCAGACCTCATGCCCTCAGAAGGGGCTTCTGTCCCTGCTGTTTGTGTCCAAATCTGCCAAAAAATGATAAAGTTATAGGCAGTTTTGTGCTTCCCCATTATAGCCTATGAGCAAAATGTCGACACAGTGTTGAAACAGCGAAACAGTTTTAACAAATCAAAACTGAACAGTGCTTTGAAATGAAATAAAACTCAGAACTAAATACTGTCCCATCAAAATGGTGAAACAGAAGTCAAAACAAAAAGGTGCTGTTTCGCACTGCCCAACTATCGATTGCTGCCTCTGGGTTCTCTGAGAATGCAGACACATGTATATTCAGGACTGTTTCAAAAGGGAGTGTGCAGCAGATGTAATATTTTAACAGGTATGTGTGGACAAGCCAGGAACAATGTAAATGTACCAAAGGTGTGCCAACTTTAAATAAAACAGTGCTGAAGTTGGAGCAGTTCTGCTTCATTTGTATTATTCCCAGTTTGTATTATTTCTACCTGTAACTGTTAGAATGTGATCATTGCTGCATAGTTTGGAGCAAGAGGACCCCCCTTCCCCCTTAAAATGGCTTCAAATGTATGTGTATTCATGCCCAGAATTATCTTTTGGAACTCCTCAATCCCTGCATAGAAAGCCAAGACACCTAAACCTGAATCACTTTTCAGGAGCACCTAAATCCTCCTTGCTGACTCCTATACACATGTTCAGAGGTAATGGTGGTGGTGTTTTAATTAGAGTAGGTCATGGACAGACACTCTAATTAAAATAGCTCACGGTCATATGTATTAAGTTCCTGCACATTTCAAAATGTCTTTGGGACACTTTATCTAAAGCTCATTCAACAAGGTTTAAATAAAGTGCCCCCATAGCCATTTTGAAATGTGCAGGAACTTAATACACATGATAGTGAGGTGATGCTGGAGTGTTCTAATTAGAAGGACTTGAATAATAGATTAATCACTGCTCTGGTTCATTCTAATTAGAATGTGAATGAGCACACCTATAAGCACCCAAGCCCCTTTGCACCTAACAGCAGGCCAAATAAACGGAGCTCAGCCATAAGGTATGCTGGAGGTGGCAGTTCTTAAGAATCCCACCACTTGACAACTTATTCCCATGCAATACATACTAACAGCAGGTGATATAAATTTCATTTTTGGCATGATTGGCAGATGGGATAAAATCTCTTTGCTGACTGGAAGCTGTAGGTTGCTGACCTCCCATTCTAAGCTGTATATGCTGCTCAAGCTGGAATGCTAAAGGTCATGTAGTGCTGGCTGTCATAATTTCCAGCTGCTAAATTGCACTAAGAGCAGTTAACAACATGTTAAATACTTTGCTAATAATCCCTTCCCATTTAATCAATCGATTTAAATTCCTTCGTGCTTGCTGTTCAGTAGCTGATGGGAGGGAAGAACAACCAAAAGGCATATACAGTCCACATGCTGTTATGGGTTGAGATTTGAATAAGCTGCCTTGTTGCTATTGGCTAGCAGTAGCTTGGAACAAATAAAAGTGTAAATATCATCTGAAGTAGATTGCTGAAAATAACATTTTTTTCAGTTTATTTGCAGTTTAAAATATCAGTAAACAGAAAAATGGGTACTCATCCTTGAGTGCCTTATATCGTTAACCCTTTTACATCTTTTAGGGTTTTTTAAAAACAAAATTTGAGTAACCCTGGAAATAAAATAATGTGTTGCATAAAATGTTTTCATCTTGAAAAAGCTGGAATGAAACATTTTGACCTTTTTTGTATTTTTTTTTTCTTTTTTCTTTTCAGTAAATGAAAAATGCCAGGATAATTGACATGATGTCACCAAATGATTTGGCCAGTTTGAATATGCTTTTTTATGACCAGCATTTCAGATTAAATTTTTACACACCTTTAATCAAAACGAACATTGTAACCAGTGCCTTTTATGCATTTATATGTTTTAGCCATTGACTAATATTGAGAAAACACTTGACCTCTGTTTCATTAGTAACACTAAGATTTACATAAATCATATGGGCCTAATGCTGCTGTATTCACATTACTCTAAATTCAGAGTAATGCCACCAGGCCTGGGGATTCTGTATTTATGGCAGTACAGGAAATCCTCCCTATTCGTGGGTTTGGCATTCGCGGTTTGAAATATTCGCAAATGCCAAACCTGCATCTTAAATACACTTACAGGAGCTCCTTTGGAGCTTTGCGCTTGCCACCACCAGGCTCCCACCACTGTTGCACTCCTGCCATAGCTGGTGCAGCTGTGCCCCATCCCCATCTGCTGGGGGCACTGCATTCATGAACGCAGTGCCTTATTCGTGGATTTCACCATTCGCGGGGATCTTGAGAAAGTATCTCCTGCGAATGGTGAGGGTATCCTGTATAGCTAAGAAAAGAAGACAGTCCTACCTAAAATTTTGTTCAGGAAATTCAAGCAAGTGCTGTGGATAATTTCCAACACAGAAATAATTGTCTAACTTATCTCTGTTTTTCATTTTTCTTTGGCATGGGATTATATTGGCATCTGTCCCAGATAATTTTATATCAAGAATTTGACACATTGGGAATGGCATTGTATAGCTGGTTATTTTCTTTTCAAAAAGTCAGTGCACTGCAGCAAAAACACAGCACTTGTATAAAACTCTGCGTAACAAAGATTGTTATAATGCAAGTGGCCAGTTTGGTCTGCAGAGCTTTGATGCATGAATACATGTTGGCAATGTATGTTTTTTGGTGGGGTACAGGGGAAGAGAGAGGGGTTCTATCCATATATTGAAGGCCATCTTTCTCCATCACAGCATGAACCTTTGCTCAGATAAGTAGGGGGAGGCCCTTCTTTATAAACATGGGGGCCTGAGAGAGACAACCTTCAGCTTCTAGGAGGTTATTGTAGAATGGTAGCTGCAGTACCAAACTTCTGGCACCCAGACAATTGTACTCAATTGAAGCACAGGATACCTTTCCCCCTGTGAAAAGGAGGCTATTCCAGGAAACTGGTGCTAAGTACAAGATTTCTCTTTCCTTCCCTTTCCTCAGCAACAGATGACACAACAGAATGTTGGTTCCAGCCAGAAGGCACTGCCATCCAAGCACCTGGGGCAGGGGCCTGCATTTGGAGTACAGCACCATCCAGATAATGCACACAAGAAGAAGCAACTGATGAAAGAAATGTAGGATAAGATAAATAGAGAATAGAGAACAAAGGAATGGGCAGTGAGAAAGCACAGGTGCATAGAAACATGCACTTGATTTTTTTCCCTTGATTTTTCCTGGCAGAACAGGGAAAGGAGAAGGAGTGGCTTACTAGAATGTAGGAAGGGGCCCTATACTATGCTGAAGTTGTCTCAAGCCGAGGAGAATAAGGGTGATGAGTGGCAAACTTCCAGCACTTCTACTTTCCCAATTCAAGCAACCAATGGGAATTATAATTCTTCTGCTTTCAAAGCTCTTTAAAATGGTATTTTAGGATTAATTTCTTTGATTCCCAGCTTTTCAAGTAATTGAGCATGTTTCGTAAGGAGAAGCGCTGCAAGAAAGTTCATGACATCCATTATGTGAAGTACGTAGCCCATGCAGATACCTGATTAGACAACTTTTGACCACAGAAGGAAGCATTAAAAACTGCCCAACTGAATGAGATGCTTTATTGTGCCAACCTCAATCTGCTGTTCCCATCAGCACTAATTATAGACAACTAATTCCATTAGCTTCTTAAATACATTTAAGAATGTATTTTTCTCAAGCTACAGTACTTACAAGCTGCAAGCAACTGATACCCTGTAATGGAGTTATAGTTTTTATGTCAACCCTTTCATTCCATCCAGTGAAGCACACATAGCATTTGCCTTTAATGTTCCTATGGAATCTAAGGTTTCTTTCTTTTATTTATGCTTGTATTTTATTTACCAGATACTTTTTGAGTAACATCATCAGACCAAAGAAAAAGAGACAAAAAAAAAAGTTCAAAGAAGAATTGTGGGTAGGAAAGTGATGAGGGAAGCCGGACTGATTTCACCGTCCTTGATAAAGGATAGAAGTCTATAAGGTAAGACACTATGTTTATTCTACTTTGTTGAATGTTACTCTGCTTTTCAGAGGTGCGATATTTTCTTTTGCAGTCAGAAAACAAGAAAATTGGAATTAAATTCAGTATTTTTTCTTTCTATTAAGAAAGAGGACTGAAACCACAAAGTAGAAACAAGGCTGAGTCTAAAACTTTCATCTGATCAAGCTCAACCTTCAGGGGAGTTCAGTTCTATATGGGTCACAGACCTTCTTGCATTTCAGACATATCTATGAAATACAAAACCTACTTTAGTCACAACATTGTAAATTTCTCTCAGGTTTATGACCTTGTTGCATAATGGGCTTAAGTTCCCAAGCAGTAAACGTCTTTAGGAAAATAGCATCGTACAGGTGTTATTTCTTAAGCATCATATCTTGATAGATTACTTATGTTGAAAGGTATCCTATTCTTCTAATGCTCTTATTGAAGTCAATGAAGGTTTCTCAACAAATTAAAAATGGATAGCTATTAGAAAGATTAAACATGAGGGTCAAATCTTGTCTGCCATTTGCATTTGGGAACACACAAACCCAGTAGCTTGAATGATAGATTTTCAGTCAAATGGGAAGCATTGTGCTTGGGAGAGTCCAAATAAGGAGACTTTCACTTATGATATTTTTTGTCACTGTCCCTTGTAAAGTGAGGTCAACGTTATAGAAGTTAATATCTGTTTTGAAAACTGTGTGAAGAAACAGTCAGTATGAAAGGGCATGAGTCGCTGTTGTGTAACGCAGCCCCAAATCCAAGGCATAAAAAGATCTCTACCTGAGACAAAAAAAGGTTATAAGTTGCTTAATTTCCAAGATGTGTAAAAGGTTGTATGGATCCTTACAATGACAGGGAAAAGTTTATAACACGTTAGAGTTGGCTATGGTGGCAAAGAACCGTCATTTAAAGTTATCTCAGAGAAACCCAGTTTTTAAGTGGGGATTGTTTTGGTGGCAAAGCTATATGCTAAATAGTATGTTTTGACTGGTGACTGGATACACCACAAACTTCATGTGTTTTAGGCAAAGAGTACGGTTAGGTTATTATATGGTTAATTCTCAAAATTGCCTTTGTTTCTCTCTGGAGGCCTTTGAAGTGACTTGGAGCTGTTTCAATCCAGGTTAGAAGCCAAAAACACTGACATGCCCATAAAAATGCTGGGAAAAGTGAACCAAAGGTCAGCCCAGAAAATGAATGGAAAAGCTTCGCAGTGAAGGTTTCCAAAGAAAGCAAATGAGTATCCAGGAATGGAGGCTTTTCAGACACGTTCCAATGGGGAATTGGCAGTATCACTGTGCTATGACTGTATTCCCTAAGAAACAAGGATTACTACCTTTTTCAGTATAAGAAGACTCAGAGCCTATTGTCATGCTACACTGTGGAATGTACCAATTTTGTTTTATATGCCAATTTCTTGCAACAAATTTTTAAGCATTTTAAAGGACTTCCAAGCAAGAAAGGAAAGGAAGTCTAAATTTAGAAGGAAGTAGAAATGAAGAATTAGTAGCAAACAGAGGGAAAGGAAAATGAATGCCAGACACAGAGAAAGAGAGAGAGAGACTTTTGACTTTGTAAATGTTTTATTATACAAGTTTAGAAACAAATGGTGAAAGTGCAAAGGTATGTCCTCCTAGGGGACATGCATGAAACACTTGTGAGTGACAAAAGAGAGAGAAATGTATAGTATACTGGGAAAAAAAAAGATGGAAGTGAGGAGGAAAAGGAAAGTAAACAAAACTGGCAAAAATGGGAGAGAAAAGGAGTAAAAGCATATGTCATCTTTGTGGGGTAATCTTATGTAATCTGCATTTGTCTTATTTTCTCCTCATAGTGGGGAGCCAATCTTTTTCAGCTGGGATGCCACAGAGTAAGCCCTGCCGATCCCCTTCCCCTGCCTGATCCTTTGCTCTCCTCTCTCCTCCCTTCCTGATCTGTTGCTCTGCTCTCTCCTACTTGGCTGACCAATTCCTCTATTCTTCTCCCTCTGCCTTATCTATGTTGATCTTCCTCCTCCCTACCAAACAAGGTGATGGTGCATACTGTTTGTGGCATGTGTGCTGTGGTTTGGCCACCTCTCTGAATCAAGGGAAAGTAGTTGTACTACAAAATAGCATTTGACTTGCTGCATCCCTTCGTGCATGGTACTAAGATTTCTGAGGACATATCCCATGGTTCTTACAAGCACAGTAAGCTGGACCTATGAAATTCTGTCATAATGTATTGTGGTAGAATGTATCTGTCTTTTCTGATATCTAAAACTTAAAATTAAAATTAACTCTGTCAAATAGTGATATAAATGCAATCTGTATAACTTTCACTTTGGAAAAAGGAAGTTGATAGAGGACATAAGCAGAGTACATAAATACTCAACTTGTGATTTTGCAGATTTCACAGAAATCATTCAATCAGGCAATATCCATGGTACTTGGGTGGGGGAAGGTGAATTACTAAAAATAAAATGCTGTCTTCCCAGTGGGAACCAGCAGTCTTCATGGCTGCTGCATCCCAGCTGTGCAGCCCATTGCGGGCGGAGGGGGCTGCCAGCCTGAATGGGAGCAGGCAAGATGGCTGCTTCTCCCACTCCTTGCTGCTGATGGGCTGAGAGGGCTGCCTGTCATGTGACCCTGCCCCTCTCCACCAATCAGCAGCAAGGGGCAGGGCCACATAACAGTCCTTTCAGTCAATCAGTGGTGAGGGGTAGAGCCATATGATAGAGAACCCTTTTAACCAATCAGTGGTGAGAGACAGGGCCACTGGGGCCCCTTGGCCAATCAGAAGCATGGCGGGGGGGCTACCATAATATGCCTATGAAAATGGCAGCTAGCCCTGTGACCAGGCCACAAAACTGGCCACCTGCCTCCTCATTTTGGGTAGACCCTGGACATGAGACATGACAGTGAGCATTTCCACAGCATGAGAAAGAGTAGAGTGCCTTAAGGGAAGCATGCAAGCATAGGAGAAGAGAGAAAGTGGTAACTGAGGGAAAGCACTGGTGAGCTAACAACAATATGAATAGCGTAGATCAGGGTGGACAATTACTTGGGCCTGAGGGCCACATAGGGATTTTGCTGCAGTCCAAGTCAACACCCCCACCCTGCAACAACTCACCAAAACTCCCTATGGGTTTGTAGGCAGGCCAGGAGTAGCGCTCAGGAGTGAGATGAGAGGGCAAGGCTGGGATCATTGTGCCAGATCTTGGGGCAGTGACAGCTCAGGACCTGAGCCATGATCCACTCCCTGCATGCCCCTGCCCTGGGGGTGCATGGGTGCATGTATGTGTAAGAGGGTTGCCTGGGCACTAGGTTCTGGGGGCCAGTTGGGGGTGAAAGGAAGGAATAGGGGTGGGGAGCTCATGCAGCAGAGCTTGCCTAGGCAGTGCAGTCTGTGGATGTCCCTGCAAAGCTCTACATGGGACCAAGTCCCGACAGCTTCTGCCTGGGGCAGCCTGTGCCACACTGCTGCCCATGCCCATCAACTGAGCCCCAGCCTGGCCCTAGTCCTGACCCTGGCCAGTGTGCATTTCCTGTAGGGCTGCTCCTGATGAGGCTGCAACTGGCCAGGTGCTGCTCTCCTA